TATGATCAAGTTTTTTTTATGTTGTAGCTAAAATTTCATCAGCTTACAAGCACAAAAATTTATTTTCTTTTCTAGTTCCGTGCTATCGAATTGACAAAGTAATGCATTCTTTATACTAAATTTCACATTAACGTATTCATCTACTCTCAACTTTTCATGGAACTTGTTATGGGTACGAAAAATTGCGGTTAATGTAATACGTTGATTTAGAAAATGATCGAATTTTGAAGGATTTTAAAAGACATTTCCATTAGACATATACCCTTTCTGCATAATTCAAATACGAAGTGAGATATATTTTAATTGTCGTGATAAAAATATAAAAGTAAAACAGTGGTTACAAAATAAGAACCTTCCATTTTTTCTCGAGTCTGATAAACTCTTGTTTAATTGATATCGATCATAGTTCAGCTTTTTGAAAAGTTTCATATTACTGTTAAGTTAATAAAAATTTCTATCATTTAGTTTCTAAACTGTACATAATGTTATACGAGAAAGAAATCTAACAGAATGATATTATTGAATATTTAATATCTATTCAATCGTCGTTAGACAGTTATGTTCTCTTAATACGTATGCATACACAATTTGCAATTTTTGAATGAAGTTCATGTGTCTGCTGATAGAAAATATAAAGCAAATTAGACATATAAACTAAGCTATAGCCAAATTATGAGAAGCAATGAGCTAATCGATGCAATTTAAAAAACTGTCTATTTTGGACAAGATGAGCTGCTATTCTGTAAAAAGGTTTTATCACATTTTGTTGGAATGGAGTTATTCTGTTTAGCTCATCTCGCTTGACTTTTTCTTTTTGTTTTTTGCAATTTTAACATCAGATCTGTTCGAGATGTATGAAGTTCAGCTAACTTTGCAATACGATAACTGTTTGTTTTTAGATATATTTTTAAAGCAATATTACTGAAAAAATTCTTGCACTTAAACTTATAATAGATAATACTGTTTTCGCTTTAGAAATTTCCCTATTATCTTGCTCTGTTTGAATTATTGTACTAAAAGAGTGAATAAACTATAATTGAAAATATTTAGTTTAAAAAAAATTCAAAATGTTTACGATTTTTTGCTAAGGGGATGGAGTATAACAATAGATCTATTTCCTTTTAATGACATATGAAAAGTTTGAAAACACTTTTAAACATTTGATATTGTAATTCGAAATGAGAAATAAAGCATGCATCTTTTATTAGATTCTTGAACAAACATATCTGTAAAGAAAGAAATGTTGCAAAAATTTCGTTACACTCAATACAACACTTGTTTCTATCATATTCATAGTGCATGGTAAAAAAAAGAAGATTTCTATAATATGTATGAATTCACACAACAGAAAGATACATCAAACAACAATAGAAATGTATTGTTATATTGTGCGTATAATTATAAATATTCATACTTTTTTTCTTAGAAATAAGATTTTATTGTGGTTTAGAAAATAAGAAGAAAAGTCTATATACTTCAAATACAAATCCATAGTACTTGAATTAAAGAACAGCTATTAATTTGATTGACTTTTGTTCATTATTTTTATTTCTACATTTGTTTATTTAATTTCATTACAAAATGGAAATGAAGCAACAACTATAATACTATTATCGACTAGTATAGAAAATGTTTAAGATCATTTAGTTGAATATGTTACTTGAATTATATCTAATCATATATAATTAATAGACATGTAAACAGTAGCACTGATAAAAATGTCATTGAATTAGATTTGAATAAAATATTAAAACAACGAATTATGATTATTCTTGTTACTCTATGTACATTTCTTTTTGTCATATGTGACTGTATTGTTTATCAATAGTGAAGCGTTATTGAAGTTAGCAAAAATACAAATCACTCATAGATTTCGAGTAATACCTTAATGAGTTATTGAAACAGTCGAACAAATCATGTTTGAATGAACATCTGTATAGCTCTACTAAACATAGATATACTAATCAATGAAACTATGTCGAATGCTATGAAAGATTTTAAAACCTTGATGTCATATGTTTACATAGAAATAACAACGTGGTTTTAATAGTATAATAATTTTTAATGTTTTATTAAACTATAGGTTTTATTTTACAGATGTCTTTGCAAACTATTTGATTGGATTCAGGTTTCATGACCAATCAATGTTTGAATTTTGTTTTCTTTTTCTTACCCTTGGTTACTATTGCGGTGTGGTGTGTTCTTTTTTTGGTATAAAAACGAATATTTTATCGATAAAATTAAACGTTATTTATTTTGAATTTTAGTCAAAAATTTGATGAAGATAAAAAGAATTAAATACAGCGAATTGTATTTATGATTTTATCATATTCAGATAATTTGTAAATTAAATTTTTCAATGAACAATTCTCGTAGTATTTATATTGATGTATATCCAATTTTTTTTTTAAGTGAAATACTTAGTCATTTTTAAGAAAAATGAAATAGATAATAATCATATTGTTTTTTCGAAAATATTTTGATTTTTATTCAAAAATAAAGTTAATACATAAACTTACAAACCAAAAGGACTTGTTTTTATTATGTAAAACCAATCAGTAGCTTTGTAGTTTTAATTGAATATACCTATATATCGAATAGTTTTTACACTAAGAAAAAAAAAGAAACATTCCTTGTTTATCTCAAAAAGAAAAAAAAACAAGTCAATTAAGTATGTAAAATAAATGAAATGTCCATGTATAATAATTTATTGTTAAATATCAGTATATTTAGTCTTGTTGTTGAAGATGTGCTTCAATTTTTTGTATTTTTCCTGATGAACTAAATGTATATTTTGTATCATATGTATGATTATTATGAGCAACTGTTCCTTGTCCTTTATGATTATCATGATTATCTTGTTGATAATCAACAAGTTTCCATTCAGCTGATGGATTAGCTTCATGTTCCATTGTATAATATTCTCGAGCTTCTTGAATATTTGTATAAACAGTTTTTGAACCAACAATTTTTACAGCATTTTGTTCAAGAGCTTTATCCAAATGATTAACATGACGAGCATTGATTGCTTGTATAAGTTGTTCAATTGTATCTTTATGTGAACTAGCCATTATTTCGTTTTTTTTTTTTAATGAAAAATTTTTGTATGTAACACTATATGTAATGTTTTTTGAAAATGCAGTCGAAGTTTTGCGTAGATTTTTTTATGAATAGTCAATAATATATCCTTGGTGTTTGTTTCTTTTTCTTTTATGAATCGACGCAATATTCTTTCTTTTTTTTTCTATCGTTTTCTTTTTTGCATACAACATTTTGATGTGTGAGTCACGTTATTTTTACCATTATGAAGGTCAATAAGGACAGAGTTTTTCGCCTTAACTAAATATGAGTTCGCGTGTGTATCATTTTTTATATGTATTATTGATTGTAAAATTAAAATTAATAATAAATTCTTTCGTTTTTAACAGTACAAATATGTTCAAAAAATGTTAATCTAAAGATAGGGTATGAATGAATTCTTAAATTGATCGAGTAGTTTATATGGTTTTTTTTTTAATTATACAATCAGTTATTCTTTAAATATTTACCATTGGGATAAAAATAGTTTTATTAATGATCAAAGTCGAGTTACCTATGATATCAAAACGAAAATTTATAATCGAATATATGTTTTAATTAACTCGTATTTTGTAAGAATTTACTCTTTTTCTTTTTGTTTATTAATAATTCAATTAATAAAATGTTTTGAAAACTAGTGACATTCTGACAACCTAAGCTGTTTTTTATCAGTCGCATTGCAAGGTTGTATAAATTGTTTTTTTTTTCTTTTAGATGTTATCTTAAACATATGATTGTGGTATAATAAAAGAAGAAGAGTATATCTTTCCTATCAGTGTTATCGTCTTGTAACTCGACCATCATATATTTACCAAGACATCTAAAAAAAAAAATAATTTATATATTCTTACATTTCATCTAATGAAAATAAATTTGATTGTTGAAATGTTAATAATTCTTAAAAATTATTTCATTTGATTAAATTAATTTAATTATAAAATTTTTATATCTTTAAATTAATCTTCTAAAATACAATATTCATTAAGAAGAAAAAAAAACAACAGAGTAAATACATATAAATACTTATTAATTATGTTATTTCGAATAATTAGAAAATGAATATTTTAAATAACATATAAAAATTTATATTTGAATGATAATATTCAAAAAAAAATAAATAATTGATTAGAACATTTAATTCTCAATGATTAAGTTTTTCCTAATCAGTACAAGGTGTATAATTATATTTTTTCCTCGCAAATAGGTACTTCGAATTGGGTTCGATAAAGACTCGGTACACATAGCCACATTCTCACACGCACTGTTGATCTTAAAAATTCAGCTAAATATTTTGATCACTGAAAAATGAACAAATCAAACACTGATTTGTACATTACTTGACTTACGTAGCTGATGAACTTTGACGATCAATGTACAAATAATAGATTCAAACAATCGTTGTCAAAAATTGTGTAAGTTGATACACTGGATCAGTTCTTAATAATAGAAACTTTTTTGAGCCATCTAAAGTAAAAGTAATCGTTAGTTGGACCGTCGGAGTTTTTTTTTGAATGATCTGTTTCTCGAAAACTGAATTTGAAATGTTTTCTACATTCTTGAATACAATGAAAATGTCTCTTGACCATAGCCAATGAAAGATTAATGAAAATATAAGCATAATATCATACTTTACAGTTTTTCACTATGTTATATCTTTAAGAGTTGATTAATCGACCATTGCAAATAAAAATTGCTCACGACTCTTACAGAAAAACTTAAGTATAGATGAAAATATGTTTAAAAATACATTTATTTCGATTATAGAATTTGTTTTTCAGAGTTTATAAATGAAAAAAAAAATGTTATCATTCTGTTGATTAGCAATAAGTACAAATATTAAGATTTTAACTAGTAGATAAAAATGTCAAAATTTACAGAAAAGAAAAGAGAATAGTCGATATTTCAGTTATTCATTTTTTAAATTATTTTAATGATGGCGATGAAACGCGATAATCACTAGCTTGTAGCATTCTAATGCCTCTTTCAGTAATCAAAAGATCAGGTAAATCAGGTTCACCAGATGCAAGATGTATTTCACGTACTTTTAGAAAATATTCTAAAGCTAATTCACTTTTCATTATAATTTTATAGAGTGAACCCAGACTACTATAGGTCAATGCAAAATCATGATGATTACCAGGCAATGATTTTCGACGTATTTGTAATGCTTCTTGCATTAATTTTTCTCCTTGTTCGTATTGTTTTAATGTTACATAACAATGACCCATGCTGAAAAGTGTACGAGCAATATTTGGATGATCTTCGGGTAATTGTCTCTTTTGAATAGTTAATTCTTTTGTATAATTTAAAATAGCTAAATCATCACGTTTATTTGTTATATTTACTTGAGCTTTGTTTATATAAATATCACAATTTTCATTCTCGTTTAGTAAAGTGTTGTTCATTAATCTAGTTAATTCTTTAATAGCTGCCATTTGATTTTCTAAAATTTTATATGCTTTTTTAATGCATTCGATTCGAAGTTTTGTATCATTTTTTCATAGATATACTTTATTTAGAGAAGTATAGCATAAAACAGTCTCATGTTCATTTATATCCATTTCTAAATATTGATTGAAATATTTTTCACTTGTATCATAATCACCAATACAATACATTAATTCAGTTAAATTATAATAAGTTGAATTATCACCAACTAATTCATTTATTTTCATGTTCAAACATTTGTTGATAATCTCTATCATCTTCATTACAAAGTTCTAATGATAACATTCATTGTTTATCTTCATCATTAAATTTAAGATTAACAATTCGACAGACAGTACCTAACATAAATAGAATTTCTTTTTCATATGAAAATATTGTGTAATGACTAATATTAGCATATAAGGTTTTAAATTTTTCATTCTTCGATCGGTCTTTATTTCAATTAGTAGAGAAATAAGAACATCATTCCGATTACTAGTATTTCCTGCAAAAACACTTGCAATAAAACGATCTTCTGTTTTGTTGATAGAAATGAAAGAAATGATTCAATAGAATTTTGTATTCGTTCAAGTTCTTTTATAGTAATTAATTGACCACGATAAACAGTTGCCATTGGTTTACCATTGGATTTTGTCTTTTGAGAAATACTTTCTTGAGCTAATTGTTTGTAGAGATCGGAAATAAACCAACTTAATCCAATTAATAATTCAACTTTTTTTTAAATTCGTAATGCTTCATTCAATTGCTTAAATAGACACATATCTTTGGTATACCATCGTATAGCAGTATCAGATGAATATTATTGTTCTAATTCTTATATTTTCAATATTTCTGTTCGGTTATCTTTATAGATATTTTTTAAATATTGTATTAATTATGTTTTTATTGCCTGTTGATTAAATTTCATTCTTAAAAGAGAATTTCAATAAACAATTGAAACCATAAAAAATTTCCATTTCCATTATGAAGATCAGATGTTGATGATTGTTCACTACGATTAAAGATTGTAAGAACTGATGTTGTTGTGCAAGCAGCAGCAGCAGCATTAGACTGATCTTGTACGAACAAATTATTATGATTATTGTAAACATTAATAAAGATCTTTTGATTTTGTCGAAAATATTTTTGTTTGAATGTAGTAATTCATCGCATACTTCATTGATCGTATGAAAAATAGCTTTTACCTACGAAAATAGTATGAAACAAGATTTTTTCATACTAATGATTGACTCCTTCATAGAATCAAAAAGTTCATAGCGTAAAATTTTCAGAATTATATTTTGATACACTAGTTTTTGTCTCATTATTGGTGTATGAACTTCAAATTTTTATGATGAGAGATGATTATGATCAAAAGTTCTTCGTAGTAAGTGACTAACACATCACCGAAATTTTGTTCTCTCAGTAGCGATGTTTGGATATTTATATCATATAAAACTACCAGAAAAAATTGTAGAATGCTCAATTTTCTATACAACATTGAGAAAAATATAATATGATCATGTTTAGACAATTTACAATTTTCATGTTTCGGAACTATTCATAATTTGTATAATTGTGATTGTGAAAAAACATACAATGTGTTGCATATAAATATGGACAACATGGTCTCGCTTATCATTAGTTGTATATCATCGATTTAAAGTTCAATTTTGATTTCATAAGTGATAAAAATTTTCACGTAGCTTGAAAAGTAGAGGTCTGCAAAATGCATTTTTTTTAATGTTCGCTTGGTATCCTGATACATACGAAACTAGGACTTTCATCTAGAGTCCTGCACGGGTACTACTTTTCGCATCCGGACCCGGCCCGGCTCATTTTTTTCAAACCCGGAATCCGACCGGACCCGGTCATCTTCCACCCGGAACCGAACCGGACCCGGATAGCTCTACCCGGTTCCCGACCGGACCCGGCCCAGCCTTGAAATAGTCAGCACTTGATTGTTATTGTCAAAATTATATTCACTTTTCAAACTTTTATTTCATATGGCAAAATATACTATTATTTTAATTTCATCAAGTAACAATTTGTACCCGGACCACAGTTCCGGGTCCGATCGGGTGCCGGGTATCCGGCCCCGTTGCAGGACTCTATCCTAGAGTGTAAAATACTTTTACTTGTTAAGATGTCATCGACTACCGGTCGGGTACCGGGTATGCTCAAATCCTGCACCCGACCCGGCATTTTTTTTTATACCCGGCACCCGAACCGACCCGGCAAATTTGTACCCGGACCACAGTTTCGGGTCCGGTCGGGTGCCGGGTACCCGACCCTGTTGCAGGACTCTACTTTCATCTCTACCATTTTTGTTGTCTTATTAGTGATTTTTCGGGAAATTCGATTTTACGTCCGATTACTCGTCTTTAAATGCAGTGTTTGATTTTATTTTTTGATCAGTTAAACATTATTAGTCATTTTGATTTAGTTAAGTGAAGTTACTCATACTTTTGTATTCCTAAGTTGGTTCAACTTATAAACTAGAGTTTAAAGGTATTGACTTTTCAGAATGATAGTGTAATGTTCACATAGATTTTCATAATGAAACATAATCGCTTTGTGATATACTGATGACTTTTTTACGTTCTTTTGTTGATGATATATTATAAGACATGCATTGCAAATGAAACATTGCTATTCCTTCTTGACTAGAAATATTATAAACAAAATAATCAAAATACGTGAGAAAATTGAAAAGTCGAAATTAGAATAAACTGTTTGCTTATTTCTTCTGTAGAGAAAAAAGATATTTGCTCTTCCGAATGAAATGACGGCAAAGTAAGATCAACATTTTCGTGTAGAAAATTCTTTTACGCATAGTGTTGATCTAAAGCAATGGAATTTTACTTTTTATGTATCATAAGATCTACACTGAATATCATTTTATTAGAATAATGTTCCGAATGGAAACTACTTACTTTCGTACAATTTTTTATCCAGTGATGTTGCATAGAATTGTAATTTTCTTCTTCGTTTTCATTCCCCAACAAGAAAACACTTACTAATTGAGAAAATTTGTCGAGTGCTGTAACAAAAATTTCAGATAGAGAATAATCACACATAACAAGTAGAACTTTTTTGTTTTTATTTGAAGAACACGTAATATAATCAATAAATTCATCAGCATCATTGAAAAATTTTACATTTGTTAGCTGTTTATCACTTATATCTTCAAATTTAGATTTTTCATAGGATGAATTTAAATAACAAATAATAGTTAATTTGTATTGTATTTCTTTCATTTATCGTGTCAAACTTGTGTTGTAACTATTCTATTAAGTTGTTAAAGTTCTTTAACATTTTATAGTCATTCTCCTCTTTATTCTTTTATTTATTTCAAACTGTTACAGAACAGTTAAAAGTGCAATATAATAAATGTAGGATTATAATTCATCAGATTATTATTTTTTTTTCTTCTAGAGATAAGACAATCTCAATGACCTCACTGATTATGAAGACAAGAAAGAGAATTTTGATTTATTGCATTCAAATATGCATTATAAAATTGTGTACCCTAATCAAAATATCATGATTCGATCCGGAAAAATGCGAACTACAAAGTAGAGTTTGTTTGACAAACGATCAAAACTCCAAAACAGTATTTTTTACAACTTTTTCTAATGAAAAAATCAGCATCAAAGAAACAAAATAAGTAGCATTTACGATGATAGAATGGATATTTATTTTGATTTTTTTCTAAGGAATATATTAATAAAACGTATAAAATATTTATGATAGATACAATGAAACTCCTGACAGATCATTTATGATCAAGAAACATTTACAATTACAAAAAGTTTAACATGTGTTGTATCGTATAGTTCGACACTAAGAACATCGATTTATGTGGTTTGATGGATTTCAATGCAAAGTAACAACAGTATAAATTGCTTAGTCTCTAAATGGACATCTATAACAGGCCTCCAAAGACTGACTATAGATATTTTCTTTTTTTTGTCACACAATTTTCCAGAAAATTTTGAAGTTTTGTATGTTCCAAATAGCATATCTCTAATAGATCAGTTAAATATGAATATGGTGTTAAAATCATTGAAGATTGTAGTGCATGGAGAACTTTCCTCAATCATAAAACAATTAGTTTGTTACATGAAAATTCTCATTGGTTTATCGGAGTCACTGATTGGTCAAAAATTGACTTTTGAAAAAAGTTCTATGAAAATTATCAAAAAAAAAGGATGAAAGAGCCGGTGTATGGCTATGGATGTTGCAGAGATCCAATTGCTACTCTGCACCTATCCCCACTCACAATTGGTCGTATGGAGCGTCGTGGACTCCCTACTTTTTTCACAAAAATCCTAGACATGATAAACCAAAGGACGACCATTGATTAAGCAGTCAAAACGTGAATGATAGACTATAAATATTTTTTGAACTATTACCCATTTCAAAAAAAAGGGCAAGTGAGGATTTTCTGGATAACTTTTGATGAAATCACTGTAGAGAGCTACGATTTTCATCATTGGAAAGAGGAGATAGAGATGCATCGAACTGTATATTAAAGAGTGATTTGATGTAGTTCTTTCAAGGACTTAAATCGATGTTTTCTAAAACCGACATATTCCTTAAGGTGACTAAGACCAATTTTCAATAATCAGGTGTGCATTCGAACTTCTAAAGGAAGATCTACAAAACTGTACAAGGCTCAGAATTTTAAATTTACTCATTCAGGATACATATGCATTTTATTTGAAATTCTTAGCTAATTTTTCCATCAATTTCTGTGAAAAAAATTACTTTGCGTTTTTCTTAGTTTAAGAGAAACCAATTTTCCAACATTTCTTCAGAAAATTGATTTAAGAACACTTTAGAAAAGATCTTAGAAAAGCCTATAATATACCATTCGATGCATCTTTATCTCCTCTTTCCAACAGTGAAAACTACAGCTTTCTATCTTGCTTCTATCAGAAAGTTATTTAAAAAATATCCACCCGCTTTTTTTCTAAATAGGCAATACCCATATAAAAGAACTTTTTGATAAAAAGACTAGACAAGACATATCATCACGGCTAGAAAAAAAGATTAATCCTTTTAGACGTCCTTTGCTCGCTTGGCTAATTTCTTTATCATTTCTTATGTAAACATCTACCGAAAAAAAAAGTAGTTCATAAATAATAATTAAATTCATAATAATATTTTATTAACAAAACTAATGAAAAAACAAATGGATTAATTCAATTGTAAAAAATACATAAAATCTTTTCTATTTTCATTAGTTGATCGTGTTGGTCGACCTAAATTTTTTCTATGACCAGTTCGAATTCGAAGTTCAAGTAAAATTGGACCATCACTATTAATTTCATGAATTTTTTTCATTGCTTCATTTATTTCAATTTGATTTGTAGCTATCATTACATGTTTATAACCACAACCCTGAGCTATGTGACAAAATGAAAATTTCTCATAATTACAAGCAACTGTTGGTTGACCACCAACACTATCATGTGCACCATTATTAAATATAATATGTTTAAAATTTGATGGTGTAACTTCACCAATATTTGCTAAAATACCCATATGCATTAGAACAGCTCCATCACCATCCAAACAATATATCTTTAAATATTTACTTTAATTTTTAAATTAAGAAAAAAAAAATAATAATAAAAATAGTTTACAGTTCGATTTGGTTTTTGAATAGCAATACCTAATGCAATTGATGATGCATGACCCATTCCACCAACAGTTAAAAAATCTTGTTCATGTCCATCATGATGTTTCATTCGAAGTTCAAATAATTCTCTACTAAGCATTCCCGTTGTACTAACAACAATATCTTGATATTGAAAATGATTCATAACATATTCTAATGCTTGTTCACGTGTTAAAGTTAATCTTAAATTAATAAACATTCTATCATTCTTCTATATTCATTGAACAAAATTAAAATTGAATTTTACCTAGCTTCGACATCAACATTCATTTTAGATAATGAATATGGTAAAAATGTTTCTCGTTTAACAAGTAATGCATAAGGACCTTTTGCTGTTTCCATATAATGTTTAGCTATTTCAAGTACTTGACAAGCGCTATCATGATTATTCGGTAATAATTGAAAAGGAATACCAAGTGCAGCTTAAAAAATAAATATTGGATTTGAAGTTTTAATAAATAATATTCGCTTACCAAGAATACTAGGTGTTGCAGGTCCTTGAACACAATGTTGTGGTTCATCTGGTTTACCTGGTTCACCACGCCAACCAATTAATAATAACATTGGTAAACTATAAACACCTGGTGTTGCAAGAGATATAATAGGATTCACAATATTGCCCAAACCAGAATTCTGAAAAAAATTTAAATTTCTTTTAAATTAAAAAGTTTATATTTACTTGTAAATAGACTAATGACGGTTGTCCTGTTGCCATATATGAACCACAAGCAAGACCAACAGCAGAACCTTCATTAGCAGTAATAATATGATGACTAGATGGAACATTTTTTGTTACATAAGCACAAAAATCTTAATTAATTGAGTATAATTCTATTGATTTGAAAATTTATGTTTACCTTTGAGTAAAGAATCTGGTACACCACAAAAAAAATTAATACCACAAATGGTTTTTATTTGTTGATAAAATTTAGCTGGATCAAGAAAATCACGAACTAATTCTGGCATATTTCGTACTTCTTCATTTTGTTTATGTGGTTCTTTTACTTCCTATTAGATAAATGATGATAATACTATAAATACATGACAGAGCTTCGAATGGGATGGAATAAAACAAAGTTCTCATCTTATGAGATTTCATTCTTAATTTTCTCTGATGATATATGACCTTTTTTATGAACAGCAAGTTTCTTTTCTTTAGTTGTTTTTGTATTTTTCTTTCTATAACAACCTAGATAATTGTATAGAAGTTGAAACAATGAAAAATCACATTATTTGTTGATTATTCGGATAAAGTGTCATCATCTTTACAATGTATACATCAAAATAATTTTGCTCATAACAAATCCAAAACTATAGTAGAAGAGTCTGTCTGATTTATTGTATCACACTTCAACTAACATCATCAGAAAAAAATTTCAACAGAGCCGTTTGACATACATTCTCTTCTTAATTTTCCTTTTTGTTTTTTTTTCTCTCGTACCTATTAATACCTTATTGTCTACCCATACGCGTAAATATCATGACAAATAACGGTACAAACTTGTTCAATATCTTCGGATGTTGTTTCAATAACAAGACAATCAGCTCGTATCTCGTCTTCAACTTCTTCTCGACCTTCACGAAACTCTTTAGACCATTTTTCAATGATCTTAAGAGAAGGTGTTTCATCACCACAAGTACTGCATAGTTCTTCGTGAATATCATTGGCTTGGATATTGAGCGTAGTACGCACTTTAATGTAGAAGCGGAAATTTTCTTTATTCATCTAAAACACAGATGTATATTGTCAAGATTTAATCGAACGTTCTTTTTTAAAACTGTCTTGATAGATGATCGCCTAAGGACTGAGGATTATGATTTTCTATTTAGTTCTCTCACAGTTTCTTGAATACTAAAATTAAAAACAAATTATAGTATCTACGATACTTTTTACTCTCACATTCATTTTCATCAAGAAATTTATGAACATAAATTTATGAGTACCACAACTATTTCAAAAAATAGTCATAGTGACGTTGACAAATCTTCTGTAAATTAGTAATCCATTTTTCTCAGTTTCTGAACACTTTTTTATTAAATTTCGGACTTTGTTCAGTAGTAGTACGATTGGTAGGTTTTTTTCGTTTTATTTCTAAATAAAAATAATCCAAGACAGTGAATCACACATAATGATCATAGATGCATATATATGTATGTTTATTTAAATAAGGAAATATTCAATACAACGAAAAGGATATACCTATAGTACTTATATTTATATATTACATTATGTAAATACGACATATTGCCAATAATGATTTAGAAAAAGCACTAAAAATGCTGATTTGCTAATTCTTGACGATTTCTGTAACAAAATCATCTTGAACTTTTATTTCATATTATTAGTTCGATGTGAAAAAGACCGAAAGAAAAAATCTTCAAACAAATCACGAAATAAAAAGAAAACAAAATTTTACAGAGTTTCATGATTTTTTAATTGAGCAATTATAGATGACAAAATACCTAAGTATTCCATTATATTTATCAGCTCATCATAATATCGTTCATTAAGATTATTTATACAGTATTGAACTGCTACTGTTTTACCCTTTGTAGTGAAGTGAATATATATTCTTTTTCTGGAGGCTGTCAGTCATTGTAATCAATTGATCATTCGAATTTTTTCGTATGTATTGCTGTTCTGTTCATGTCGAAAAATATACTCATCTAATAACAATAAAGAGTTCATATTTGAGAGTGAATAAATAAAATAACCGATGATTTTGTCTGATATATATATCTCATGAAGATAATATAGCTGTTGTCATGATAATTGATTTTCATTTGTATAATACATATATTTTATTTTTCAGATTATTATTCTAGCTTTCCTCTGTCAAATATTACTCGTCATCTTTACTAATGGATATATCACGAGACCAATAGAGAATGCGCAGAACAATAATAATAAAGATAGGGGATAAGAGTCAGCGTTTACTAGAGACAAAAATGTTTATAGTACTCTGAATAATAATAACGAAATTAGATACCAAGATAAACAAATGATAAATTATTATAGCACATATAATAACCTATAAACTGTTTGATATATTGTTGAAACTTTTCAAAATGAATTTTTTTCAATCGGAAAATGGTTTTTCAATTAATTTATTGTGTTCATCTCAAAATGCTGGAAAAAAAATTTGCATGTAAAATATTTGTTGAGTCTGGATTGTGCATTTGTTTCGCATTAGCGTTCTTCTCAGAGAGAAGTCTTCCAAGATTTATTCACTCAGTACCCGAGTAGAAAGACTTCGGGACTGAACCAATGTAATTTAAGTATGCTAATTTATTTTGAGTAGAGACGAAAGCATATTGACTAAACTGTCACCGTCCTGGCATAAAAGTTATGCAGTAGGTTTATGATAATTTTAATCATCCAAGCTTAGTTTTCAGAAATGTTCTTATTCAAGTTCTTCTATATACGTTATCTATCATAGTTTTATCCTTTTTTTTTTGTAATGCAAGCTGATTGTTTGGTAAAGTCAAGAACAACTTGACTTCCTCAATGAGATTAGAAAAGCTGATGTATATGCCTACAGACCATTCATGAAGATTCAAAGTCTTCTAATATATTCTTGAAAGACTATATATCATTCAAAAACAGTGATACATGATGATGTCACTCTATAGTACCTACAAGAACAAAGAGTATCTGGGGATGTGGGTGTGAGTGTGAATATTCTATTCTCTTATAACACCCACATCCACACCCTATTTTCGCAGATATGAGCAAAGTTGAAAGAGGAACCACCTACAGGTGATATCGATAAATGTGTAATACTTGTTGATATCACGGTTGACTCTACGAAGATGCGACAATTCTTTACGCGCTCATATGAATGGTCAAAATAACAATGAGTGAGCTTTGGTAGACTCCATATGCAGTTTATAAGAGGAAGTGCATTTGACGGATCATTCTTTCACTCATGCTTTGCCAAAGAGTAATCCCCTGAGAGTCAAATATGTGAGATTGATTAAATAAGGTACTGCTAATATGATTTTCCTATTAATACTTCATGCGAAAGAAAATTGATGAAAGTGGTTTTTAATTGAGCAAGTGTGAACCCATAAGCATTTAGACGATTAGGTGGTCGAAAAAAGGTCGTTCTTCCCTGATAAATACAAGGAAAGTACTTTATCGATTAAAGTTGGAAGATATTCTCAACAGATTATACCAAGATTATTAAAATATAATGATCGAAAATCAATACCATAAACAGTAAAATGATGAAAAAGAAGAAAATTAAATCGAGAATTGAGATCATGAAATGCAAAAACAAGTTGATCCGAATGAAGACATTCGAATAGATGAAGTAATAATTCGTTGGCTAGTGATTCAAAATTCTTTTTTTTTTTTATATATTTCTTCACTATTTGTCGACGCAAATAAGTTGACGATGTTATTTATATAGATAAACTATCTGAAAGAAAATTCAATTTTTGATTCTTATATCATTCTGTTCAGTAGTATATAAATGACCAAGCAAATTGATGACAAGTTGCTTTCCTAGTTTATCTTTCAACTTTACATGTTATTCAATCAAGTTGTAGAATAGCAGCTATGCTCGAATGTCTTTTAGAAGAAACATTCAACTTTTAAGGGTTAAAATTTCGTTTACGCATCTCCTTTATGATAACCTAAAGCAAAATATAATCGATGCAAAAACATTTTTTTTGCATTAGCTTTATCGTCAGAAGAACGCGATGTAACATGGATCATACTTTAAAAAATGATATTCTTTAATAGAACTAATTTATTTCGCAATAATGATATTATGATTCAATCGCCCAATCGATGCCATTAATTTCCGTGAATTTAAATTTCTCCTATATGGCTCAAGATGGAAGATGCCTAATGAGTTGGTCGTGATGTGGAGAAAAAACCTGTTGCTTTTCATTCTAACAGGTGACAAACAACTATTATTTATCATTTGTTACTAATGATATAAAAGATAAAAACCCCTAACATTTCGGAGAAAGTCGCAGTGCAAGAGTAGCTATGTGACCATTTGCCTCGTCTTGTGCATGAACATATATTTATTCAGTTTTTTGACTTCCTCATAGCATACTCGACTGCATTTTCCAAGAAAACATGTACGTGACGTCGAAGCCCATACTCACTCGTACGAAAACGGAACCCATCTTCACGATCAGAATTTATTCATTATATGTTTACTAATGTTTTCTAGGGTGAATGCAATCATCGGATCAGTTCAATACTTTACAATCACCATAGTGTCGAACATTATGCCATCAAAACTGTCAACCAACTTCAAACGCTCGAATTTTCAAATAGACACTACAAATTTTCATGAATCATTTCAACATTGAATGTACATCTGGATGTGGGTGTCAGGTGTAGATGTTCACACTCACCTGCTCCTCACATCCACACCCTCAAGGTTCTACAAAAATACTTATCAAACTATTTTTAGTATCAATCTAAACTAAAGACAATACGAAATATTGTTTCAATTATGATGAAATAGAAGTTGTCGATAATGATTGATTATCTGAAGATAGAAACAAATTGATATAGTCAGCATAACGTGTTTCGATATCTTCCTGATTGAGGCCAAACTCAGCAAGTGAGTACGTATGACGACCTTGTTTTCCTTGAGGATTTTTGAGAAGCCAATCACGCATACCCATCTCCATTTCATTCGAACAATGAAGATTAAAATAGTCATATATTTGATGGACAACACCAATTGGATCTTTCATCAAATTGTCATAAGTAATATCGAAAATATTTTTTTTCGATTGATCAAGTACACCGTTTTCTGATGTTCGAAATTTCATCATACATTCGATTTCTGTATCGACAAATTGACAACATCGTTTTATTATTCTATCGCGACCGATCGGGTTTGTTGCGTCAATAGTCAGTTCAGTAGTTGCCAATGATAAACTACATGTTGATGGAAGAACTTCGTCAAGATGTCGATGTGTCATGATTAATAATGCATTCGGATAACATTGAAGCAATTTATCAAAAGAAAAAATATGCAACGGTGATTTTAATAGCCAATGCGATTTTGGCATATCAACAGCATTTAACATACGTAGAAATATTTCATGATAATCATATGCATAAGTTTTATTCATTTCGTTACGAATCCAATTCTCAGGATTGCAATCATCACCATCAGATATAATAGTAAACAGACTAAAATAGCCAGCTTGACGTAGAATATTATAATCTTCTTCAATATCAAAATGTGCATGAGATGCAACTAGTTGAAGGAGTATATCGGATGATTGTTCATTGACTTGTGAAGAAGATTTTAAAAGATCAATGCGTCGTTTTTGTCCGATCAAATCGGATCGTGGAATCGGTGGAACAACTTCAATAATCATATCAGTGTACAATGGTGCACGACAATTTGGATCGCAGGCAAGCAAATTGTAAAGTAATGTTGTACCTGTACGTGCAAGGCCACAAATTACCAACGGACCAATACTAGGCATGTTTTGATTGAAAACTTCACTGTGTTCGACTGCATAATTTAGAACACGCTTACAAGATGTGTGTAAAGTATGAAGTTCGGATAGATATAAATTTCGACCAACAGATGTTATATATTCATTACGAAGTATACTTTGACGATATGATTCTAACGTACGGAGTATATCACTGTAAAAGCCGAATTGATTTTTGGCTTGTTCAGTCAAATTATCTTCATGTAAAACAGTATCATTCGAATGATCATTAGTTATATG